CCTTACCGCAGGTCGGCCCCGTGAAGGTGGTGTCTGTGCAGTCGCACACGAAACGATTCCAACCTTCTGTGCAGCCACCTCCATTGAGACAGGGCTGCGACGGGCATTGCTGCGGCTGCACATGGCACAGCGTTTTAATTGACCCTAGAACGAAAAGCGGAGAGGCAGTTTAATTGGAGTGGGCCACGCTGCGCCACGCTCGTTAAATTCTCCGCAACCCCCCGAAAAACCAATTTATTTATTTATTTGCAAATCCACTTTACCTGAGTCCTGTTCCCGCGCGAAGCTCGCAACGTCAACGGCTTCATTATTCATTACGAGGTCCTTGAAGCAGCCGACGAAGCCCTGCTGAAGGACGGCCGTCCACAGACCAGAGGGAACAGGGATGTCGGAGAATGGAGGGCCCAGTCCTCCAACGTACAAATTACCGTCCAATTCCAAACTATTCGAACCTTCTACAAAAATTATAAAATCATGTTTCACATGTAGACTCTTGGATCCTACGTTGTATATTTTATTATTGATAAGTTAGGTAATTCATAACACTAATTATAACTGTTATACAGATTAATCAAGTGCATCCGAATATATAGATTTCCAATAAATTTCAAATACATAGAGTTCGATTCGAATTTTATGTTATTGTCTAACTCTTAACTTATTTGATAATTGCATACAAATAATACTAAAAGCAAATATTCGGTCACTGCAATAATAATATATATTATTATTTCATTAAAAAATTAGTAAGCGGATTAAATAATCTGCTACTATTGCTGGAAAACAAGTTTATATTTTATTTTATAAAAAAAGAAACAAGAAGAATTTAATCGATTATATATATTATTTTGTCGACTTAACAAGAAAATATATATTTTGTGGGTACTAGACACTATGCCTAATGAATAAGACGGCTCTGGCCTAATATTGTTTGGAAGTCCTGAACTAACACTGTTTGGAAGCTTTATGATAGTTTTATTTCAGTTGATTAGAAATAAATTATAATGCAGTGGAACCTCGCTTAACGAGCATCTCGCATAACAAGCAAAATGAATTGTAAAGAAAATGACTCGTTTAACGAGCGACGTTTCGCATAACGAGTGAAGATGAGAAGAGAAGTCCCGGATGTGCCTGCTACATCATTTTCAAAATTTGTGTACACATATTATGTATATTTTTTAACTGTGAGTATTTTTTAAGTGCGAGTGAAAATCCGCAAATTTTGGAACGAATTAAACTCGTCAAGCGAGGTTCCACTGTACTTCCATATATATTAAAATGAATGAACGTTCACTCTCACCATCAGCAATGCTTGCTTGCCTCATCTGTATATACTCAGATTAATTTGCGACGAAGTTGTAAAATCCGACACTTAATTTTTGATAGCCGGATTTAATATTCCATCTCGGAAATTTATTGCCATCCAAAAATATATTGGATTTATAATATTTCCTAAAATATGATCGGCGAATTACTACTGGAAAATACTTCAGCCATACAACTCCTATTTCCAGGCTGCAACGCTCAGCTTCAACGGGTCGCAGCACATGGAGGTGAACATGGACACCGAATCTTTGACGCAGACCGAGGACATCGTGATCCGCTTTCGCACCAGCAAACCCCTAGGTCTTCTGCTCATCACGAGCACCGTGCAGACTGGTGACAGAATTGAATTGGCCGTAGCTGCGGGTCGAATTCGCATGGCTCTCAGACTTGGCGTCAAGGACAAGAAGCAGGAGGACAAGGAGAAGGATAAAGTAAATTGAACATTTAATCGTTTTTTCTTTACAAGAAGTACATAATTCGTGAAGTATACTCCGTTTCTCAATATGCATGTTTTCTAAAACTAAATTATATTAGAAAAAAGAGTAACAAAAAATGCTTAACGATTATCATTATTATACACAATCGTAAACACAAGTCCAATTATTGTTCTGTGTATTGATATTTGTACAATTACGACTATGACCATTAGCGTTATTTCAATGTTGATCGCACACAAACAATAACATCCAAATACCAATATTTCAGATCTTATTGGCGGGACAAAATGTAAACGACAACGAGTGGCACACGGTGAGGTTCTCCAGACGCGGCGCTAATCTTAAGCTTCAGCTGGATGGGAAGACACCACTTAGAGGTATCTCCTCAATTTCTTATATCTTACCACCTCCCTAACATTAATCATTAATATTTTCTTCAGCTGAAACGTTCGGAAAATACAATACGCTGCAATGGAGAACCATCCATTTGGGTGGACTCTACCATCAGGAAGAGGAGATCAGCATGACCACGACCGTACCCAACTTTATCGGAGAAATCCAACAGTTTTACTTCAACAATATTCCATATATTGAACTCGCACGTGCTTCCAGCAGCGAGCATACGGTTCACGGGTTCCCTAATATCCGGGTAGCTGCAAAGTTCGTGAAGAGGGCTACAGACAACCTCCATCGCCCGGTCACTTTCCGCTCGAAGCACACTTTCATGGGCTTGCCGATGCTCAGAGCATACTCCAGCATTCACATTGATTTCATGTTTAAGACGCGGGATGCCAACGGTTTGATCATGTTTAACGGCGGACGGAAAGAGGACTTCCTTGCCGTCGAACTAATCGATGGACACATTAATTATATAGTGAACGTCGGCGATGGCGCCGTCAAATTGAAGGATTCTGTGAAAACAAATCTGAACGACAACCGTTGGCACACCGTCGGCATCCGCAGACCCTCGGCCAAACAGCACACCTTGATGGTGGACGACGATATCGTCGTGGCAACAAATCAAGGCATCGGTAATTTGGAGCTCGATGGAATCTTATATTTGGGTGGCGTGCACAAAGACATCTACTCGCAATTGCCGCAGGAGGATATAAAGTCTAAACACGGTTTTGAAGGATGCATTGCAGGGTTGGACTTAAACGGCGAATCGCCGAACGTGCTGGAAGATGCTGTTGTTCACAGCTCTTTGGTCACTGCTGGTTGTGAAGCTCAATCACAAAAGTGCAGTCAGAACGTTTGCGCCAACGGTGGAATCTGCGTGCAACAGTGGCCTGCATACACATGCGATTGCGAAATGACCTCCTTCACCGGTCCCACCTGCTCTGATGGTATAGTTGTCATATCGATTTTAATTCGTATTACTTTCAAAAATAACTGTTTACAGAATCCATTGCATACGAGTTTGGACCTAATCGCGGCATGATTACATATACTCATCCCGAAGACAGAAGACCTGAGGTGCAAGAAGATAGCATCTCTTTAGGATTAATCACCACGAAATCTGATGCCGTCGTTATGAGAATCATCTCCGGCCCTTCAAATGATTACATCGAACTTGAAATTGTAAGTGCACTTAATTACCAGAATTAATTGTCTTCATAATCAGTGATTCAATAGTTATGTTTAATGCATAAACTGGTAAATGTAAAATATTCCACTGAATGTTTAAACAGAATGTTTGGAACTGGAAAGCATTAATCCCATCCTTTCATTTAATCTACAAACAGCAGTTCGATCAATACGTACAATATATTTCAGGTGGAAGGAAACATATTCATGGTATATAATTTAGGAACGAACGATCATCCGCTTGGTGAAATTTCCGTCAAAGTAAACGATAATCAGTACCATGTGGTGCGATTTAATCGATCGGGATCGAATTCGACGCTGCAAGTAGATGACTACAACGTGCAATTCAGTTACCCCGCTGGAGAACAACTTCAGGTGTTCAATTCGCAGTCGCAAATCCAGATCGGAGGTAAATGGAGCAAAGGGAAATCGCGAATCGAGAGACCCTTCGCTGGAATAATAGCAGGTGTCGTCGTTAACGGAATGCGAATCCTAGATTTGGCCGCCGAGAAGGATTCGCACACCTCTATCAGGAACGACGTACAACTCGTAACGGGCATCCTCGATAGACATGATCAACTACAAAAGATGCAGCAGGTATGTTCAATAGGAAAAAAAAAGGACAAGAGCAATTGAAAATCTCGTTCTTTGTAGACTCCAGCTTCTGGTTTTCCCGGTGTCATGGATGATCTGGTGTTCAGCGGTGCAGGGTCAGGATGCAATGGCGATGATGAGGATGAATGCCCTCCGCTTCCGGAGAATGGATCAGGTGATGATGACCTTATAACCCCTGTATATATACCACCCACAAGGCCGCCACCAACGACGAAACCACCACATCACAGACAACCCGATAAAGATGATGAGAAAAACTGTGACGATGAAGATTGTTTAAGTGGTTCGGGATCTGGAGAAGTTACCGAAGATTCTACCAGCACTACAACTGGACAACACACTTCAGGTATTGTTATTTATCCTCTTAGTTTGAAACATATTATTAAAGCATATGTACAAAGTAGAAACAGTACCGGGACCCAGCGTAACCCAAGATAATATAAGCACCAAATCCACTGATAAATCAACAACTCCTATAAGTGGTAGCGGCGCCACCGACACCACTACAAGCGTCGGAACAACTAAGCAAGAAGAACCGATCACTTCGGAAGCAGACATTGCGAAAGTAACCACTCAGGTCTCCACATCTGATGGAACTTCGACTACGATCACGACAACAACGCAGAGACCAATCGTGAAGGCACAAGTGCCTATTGGAGATTACCCGAACAACTTTTACCCGACGAGTAAACCACCAAGAAGGCCGGAAAGGGTTAGCAGCGAGACATCAGAAATCGTTGCGCTGATAATAGGAATAATAGCTGGAGCACTCATTGCCGTCATCCTCATAATCCTTGTGATTTTGAAGTTTAAATCTCGTGGTGATCGATCCTACAAAGTCGATGAGGGTAAAGGCTACCAACAAGGACCGAATGCAGCTCTCCTCGGAAACGCCAGCACCAACACGAACGGCGGTAACTACCAGCTAAACGGCGCCGTCCGCAACGGCGACAAGAATTCGCTACAAGGTCAACAGCAACAGCAAAAAAAGAAACGCGACAGCAAAGACATTAAGGAATGGTATGTGTAAAGTGGGCATATTTGCCAGAAAAAAAAATGTTTTTGAAAAAAAAAAAGAAGTTATTTTCGAACTCCGAGCCATTTATTTTGCGAGCGCGATTTGGACCTAATTCCCCTGAAGAAAGAAGATGAAGACACTACTAATCTTAAAAAGGTGATACACGCTATTATCCTCTCCTACATCCCATCGAAGAGGAGAGTAACCTTCGACTTATTCAAATAATGCTCATGTTTGCTAAAACCTCCCACACTTCAAACACAAAACGTTTCCCTACTTCTCTTACACGTTTTGCCCTAATAGTAGCCCAAACACCCTCTCACCATCTACAAATTCAAGACAGCAACTAAACGAATTTAGGTAAGAAAATAATCACCAAGGTGACCACAGCAAACAATAATAATAATAAAATTAAGTGACAATCAAGTTTATGTTTCTAAGGTGTTTGAGGCTACATTTACCAAACAACGTGAGATGAGAAACGTATGAGAGAGATAAAATAAGTTTTGACACAATGTCGGCACGGATTCACTGATAATAAGTAAAGACTGTAAAATATTTCAAGAGATATAAAGAAAAATCAATATCAAATCATATCAAAATAAATTTGATAAAATTAGATTTTTTTTTCTTTTGCTCCGTAGCAGCAGAAGAAAGGTAATAATAAGCTTAATTATACTTGTACTAATTCGAATCCGCGCCGTTATTGAAATTTGAAGAAAAACAATTTAATTTCTCCCAGTTCATGAACAATGCCTATGTCTTGATTGTTGTTCTTTCTTTCTGTTTCATACTATTATTATAATTTACTCTCCTCAAAATGAATATATTCAATGAAGAATTATGATTATAATATAAACAAATAGTTCTAATGTCACCTAATCGCCTAATATACCAAACAAGACGTGGACAAAAAAAAATACAAGAAAATATGAAAAAATACACTTAAACATAGCAATATTATATAAATATTAATTATATATAAAAATATTATATAGAATACGCAATTTCCTTGGCAACCCCGATGTCCCCACCTCCTTCTACCAGGAATTATTATATAAATATAAAATAAGAAATCATATTTACTTTGATGACAAAAGTAAATATTGCATGAAAAATGAACAACAAATATATATATATATTTACGAAGAAAAACGATGATGATAAATAAACAGTAGTTGTTAACTATTTGTTGTGTAAAAAGTTGTAAGTAGTCTTTAGCGTTTTGTATTATATTTTCGTTGGTTTTTCGAAATTCTTTTGTTAGAGCTATAATAAAATGGCGTATATTTGGATGTTACAAAACATAAACTTCTTATTATTTTTATTAAGTTCTTCTTGCTGTTATTATTAACACACAAGGTATACAAACTCCCAATAAACAAAATAACTTTAGTTCAGGTAAGGCAAGATAAATATATTAATATTAGACTTCTTGTGACGATCAACTCTGTTTTGTTGAACGTTTGAATAAATATGTATTAATGCAAATATATTAGTCCAGGCGGCTTCGGAACAAATCAATTCAGTACTCATCGCATCTTGAATATACTAGACTCCACATTTTAACAATGAACTGGCGGATAATTCACTGCTTTTTACACTTATGACTTAGTTTATAAGTACCACCATATAAAGTCATAAATATTATTTTTTAACTCACATAAAATAGTATAACAAAAGTTATTATTGATTTGTTTCAACTACCCTAACAACTATAAAAAATTAGATTGTTCTAACACATTTTTATAAAATAATTATTTATAAATACTTTAATGAAAATATCCTAAAGAATATGTTATAAATGTAACTTGGTATTGATAGATTGATAGAAATAAGTAAATATATCATGAATATAGCAAAAAGTACTTGCTAAAGATAATCAACAGGTTATAAGCGCTATATAATAACGCAAAAAACACAGATGTGATTCGTGACACCGTTTCGATAAGTAGCCAACAGGAGAGCAGTAAGATGATCTATTTTTACGTTTCAGCTTGTGATGTCATGTTTCAGTTGGCCTATGATCCAAGTAGTGGAGGTGGATCTGACGAAGAGTACAAATGGCGTAGCCAACGTCAATCCAGACGTTCGGTTTTTTAGGTTAGGATCAAGATCTATTTTAGTATATTTTTTTTCTCTCACAATACCTTCAACCGAACACACTGCAAACAGGACCAACAACAGGGGTCGTATAAATCTTACAATAATTATGTAAAAGCGATCCACAAAGATGTCGCAGATAATGTTGATAATCTCGGCGGCCCACCTGATTTTCTGCCCTTTCACCAAAGTCGAGGAGAGCTTCAACCTGCAAGCCGTTCACGACATCCTCTACCATAGGTTCAATCTCACCAACGTAAGTGATATACGAAAATTAAGAATGACACATCCCGAAGAGATTTTAGATCCAGTCGACTTCCATCGACTCAGCAATTGTTTCGCCAATTGACATTTTCCATCCTAAAAGCATATCACTATGTTTACTTGAGAATCTGAAATCACGCTCTATATCTAATTGGAAATCATTTTGAAAAACTTCCTTTAATATGGACATTTTTAAGTATATTTTTGTTTTGATGTTTTAATAAACATTATGTCAACGAACGTGTGGTTGCCTAAGACCAATATCATAATTTCAAATTTATAACATTCACAAAGGACCGATAAAGGATGAAAAATAGTATTTTAAACCCTAGATGAATTTTAATTGTAGTTTTGTTTATGGAATATTAAATATACTTTAATTACCCTTAAGTAAAATAAAAATACGCTTAAACTCAGAGCTGTCTTATTCATTAGTCACAGTGCCTAAGCCATAGTGCCCACGAAAAATAGTTGAAGTAAAATTCATCACCAATATCATATTTTTCTCCATAAAATACATTTGAATTAGAATTTAACATTTGGTCATCATTTTAATATTCTTCCTCTCCCAGTTGTGATCTACTCATTATATTATTATTAAGATCTTTTTTATTATTTTTTTAGTATGATCATCATGAATTTCCTGGTGTTGTACCACGGACGTTTATCGGACCACTATTCGTTTCGGCAATCGTGTCACCTGTGGTTGCAATCCTGCAACATTTCGATTTCAGCAAATTCTGGACTCAATATTTAGGTTGTTCTTGAATCAGGAACGAGCGTAATAAAATCATGATCTTGTAATTTCAGTTCGGGCAGCTTTGGGTGGATGCGTAATAGGGTCTTTCACTGTTCTATCAAAGAATCTGGAAAAAATATTTGGGAGCCAATGGTTACAATGGTTTATAGCCATAACTGTAACCCAAAGTCACTTCATGTTCTACCTTAGTAGGCCGCTTCCTAATATCTTTGCGTTACCATTAGGTGAATCAACGATTAATTATTGAATATCCAACATGTCAATGAATAACTTGAGTAAATTAACTTTCAGTTCTGCTCGCACTCAACGGTTGGATAACAAATCATAACAAGAAGTTCATTTTGTTCTCAGCTGCAGCAATTATCATTTTCAGAGCTGAGTTAGCACTCTATGTAGGCTTGCTACTTCTGTATGATCTTTATTACAAGAGAATCACTTTCAAAAGGTTAAGCAACGGCTTATAATATGAATAATAATAAAAATATATGATTGTGTTTTAGGCTCTTTCAAATCGCCATACCAGGAGGTCTCTGTTTTTTAATCTTATCCGTTGTAATTGACTCTATTTTCTGGAATAGACCGCTATGGCCTGAAGGAGAAGTTCTGTGGTTTAATACGATCTTGAATAAAAGTTCTGAGTATGGAGTGAGTTCACGTTTAACCTAATTTAATTTCCATTCTTTATTTAATAATTTTGCAGACCTCTCCATTCCTCTGGTACTTTTATTCAGCGATTCCCAGAGGCATGGCCACATCTATTCTATTTGTTCCCATTGGTTTGATTCTGGATGAAAGAACTCGAAAACTGTTCGTCCCATCCGTATTATTCGTTTTGATTTTTTCCATCTTACCACACAAAGAACTTAGATTCATCATCTATGTATTTCCGTTTCTAAATGTAGCAGCTGCAGCTGCTTGCAACAGAATGTAAGTCGAAATGTATTTTATCAATACTTAATTTAACCTGAATTTATTGAAGATGGATAAACAAAGAGAAGAGTAGGATATATCATCTGCTTTCGTTAGGTGTGATTGCTCATTTAATAGTGAATTCGATTTTCACTCTTTTCTTGTTAACAATTTCGAGTACCAATTACCCCGGAGGTGCAGCAATATCACACTTACACCGAATTGCGGCCAATGAAACTGATGTTAGTGTACATATAGATAATTTGGCAGCACAAACTGGGGTCTCGCGGTTCACCCAAATCAACAAGAATTGGACGTAAGTATTATCATCATCAATAAAAAACATTTTGTTCAAATTTAGCATTAGGTACGATAAGGCCGAGCATTTACTACCTGGATCACCAGAGATGTTCAATTACACTCATCTAATAGCCGAAGGGAAGAGCCGCTTCTCGCCCAACCTAAAGCCATATGTGACAACCCACGAAATCATAGATACAGTTGACGCTTTCCATCAGATCACCTTCAACTATTTTACAATACCACCGGTACGAATCAAAACGAAACCTGCCCTCTTCATATTACGAAGGAAAGACAACTACAAAGATTTTTTGCATGAAGAACCCTTCGATAAGAAAGTCGAGATGTTCGAGAGTTTGGAAGGATTGGACGAGAGTGTTGAATCGAAAAAACTTGGTTCGTCCTAATGCAAACAAACAAAATTACCTCACACAATTATTTTATTTTGCGTTTATATTATTTCAATTTATTTCATAAAAATATATAAAACAAATTCTTACAATGTACTAACCTTTTTTGTTTTATTTTGTTAATATTAACCCAATTAATTTTCCGCAAATTACAAGAAGCTATGTAGCTAATTACACATTTAGGTTTTAAATAATTTTGCTTTTACTATTTAGATTTTGAGAAAGACGACGGAATGTCCATAAGCCAAGAGACTAAGGGCGACAAGATGAGTATGGAAACTGAAGAAATTGATGGGTTAGAAATAGAAGAGCCATTTACGAACGTGGATTCAGAAATTGACGAAACAGATGAACAAACGTTAGAAAAATACTTTTTTGAAACTGAAGAGCGAATTGATTTGATTACGGAAAGCGAAGAGCAAACAGCTATGGAAAGTTTAGAATCGCAGATTCTGATAACGGTAAAACCTGTTAAAGAAAAAGATAGCAAACAATTAAGGGGGAAGGGGACTAAATCAAAAAAGAAAATTGAAATCCAATCTCAGGAGGAAAAAACTTTAAAATCTGCTAATGCTAAGGAAGATGTGGATAATATTAAAACCAGTTCTGAAGCAAACATGATATTAAAACCAAAGAAGAAAAATGACATTGAACCTAATAAAGGAAAAGTTATGAAAGTAACAAAGAAAGATGATACAGTGATTGAAGAAATTAAAACTGCAAAACTCAAGAAAAAAAATGTTATTGAATCTGAAAAAGTTATTGAAAAATCTGAGCAACATTCAATTGAGAATGTGGGGGAAAAGAGTAAAAAAAAGAAGAAAATGCGAAACGAAATGCAAGGCCAAAACAAGTCAAAATCAAAGTATGACATAAAGAAGGAGGGGAATTTAAAGTGGACTGAAATACAAAGTGCAGAAGAGAAATCATTAAAACAGAGATCCAAGGAAGTTGCTTCATCTAGGAAAAAATCTAAAGAAATTGATTTTGAAATAACATCGACAATATCTTCAGAGAACATTGTTTCTAAAAAGAATGAGTTTGAAAACGTGGGAGCTAAAGAAACTGTAAAACATGTAGTCCGTGAACAGAAAACGAAACCAAATGTAAAAGAGAAGCTGAGAAATGTATTGGATAAGTTTAGAAAGAAGCGAAAGGAAGTTACAAAGAAAACAGGCACAAAAGAATCGATCAAGAAGATTATTCAGGAAGAAAGGGAGCGCGAGGAGAAAGAGGAATTAATGAAGCTGCAGCAGCAGATCTTTGCGATCATCGATGCCAATCCGAGTATTCTTAATAAGGAAGCGATTAAGAGTAAAATTCACGACGTCATTGTCAAGGAAGTGGAGATCGAGACGCCGGAAGTACTGTCAGACGAGGTGATGGTCACATCCGATACGGACGAGTTCATGGAAGCGGACGAGCAGATCGAGAACATCATGAACATAATCCACGAAATCATCGAGAACGTCGAAGAGAGCGATGGCAGAAGCATTTGATATGTAACAAAGAAGTGACATAATTATAAAATAAGTAGCTTAAAATTTATTTGAATCTCCCGCTTATTTAATTTTATAAATATCCGGTAGTTCTGGTAGCGGTTCGACGTCCGGTCCATACTTTTCCAGCCGGAAGTCTGGCCTCGCCACCAGCCACCCGTAGACCTTGTTCGAAGTGTCGGGGAAGGGCTTCGGGTTGCGCGGGTCAACTTCTGCCTTTGTACCGTACGCCATCCGAATCTCGTCTTGCAACTGCCTAATGAACATATCAAACTCATAATTAAAGTTTATCCATTAAGATATCATCTACACCGAGAATGGATAGAAAGATTACTTGTTGGCCGTAATATACCAGCTCCAGTTTAGAGCCCATCCCTTATCAATCGCCACCTGCTTATTGTATTGGTACCTCAAGCGTTGCGTTTCTTTTATCGGACTATTCTGTGACATTTTCCCCGAACATTAGATAGCCCCCAACCTTTCGTATGAACCCCCAACTGAATATAAAACCCCGATGTCATTTGCGACAAATCGAAATCAATATTCTATAAAGACGACAAAACCTTGGCAACAATTCAAGATGCATTAAGATCTATCAAATTTTACTTTGACTTATGAAACGAAGCACTTTATAATAAAAACAAAATTTCCACATCGTAACGAAACACAAATACTTGTGTTAATTCATGACGCGGAATTAGAAAACATGGATTTTTGTTCGTAAAACATGTCCCGCTCAGGATTATCAACTCTGACAATCGTGTTTTACGTATCTATCGGTTCTTCGTGTCAATGAGGATTAGACTAACTCTAACACACCTGTATACATCGATGAGAAACTGCCATTCTTTCTGCCACTCGTGCATATGATAATATTCCTTCTTGGCAGACTCTCTCATGAACTTCAATTGCAACATATGATTATTCTTATCGGTTCCTAGAGGCATTCTCGTTGTCCAAGCGTTTTCTTATAGCAATAATTATCTTGTATAAATATTAGAAAAAATCTTGTATAAATTCTCTTCCTTTGACAGTTATAACGTTTCGTAGTCACAGAAACGTAGTCAAATTTACGATTTTATTAACATATTTGATAATAAAACAAGCACCTGTCTTTCTGAATTATTATATAATTGAATGTTTTTTTTAAATAAATTTTATTAAGTATGTTCCTACTTTCCACAAGTAATTCTGCTGGTGCTTATTTAGGCATGGCCCCTGTGTGCTGGCCCTAATTGTAAGTGCAAATGGCAAAAATGTTGAAAACATTCTAGTCTAAACACTTGCATAATAGCAAACCACAGGTAATGCAATTTTTCGCACCTATTAATTAGTTGATCTCGTGAGATTTTCGAAATGTTATTTGCATCGCCAATATAAACTTGAATTTGCGAATTTAAAGTATTATTTGTTATTTTGAATGAATAGCTGTTTATTTTTGAAATATTTATTTGATATCATCAATATTTTTAGTAATGAATACCATTTTCAACCAGTCTCTCTAATTCGTATTTATTTAACAATTGCAAATAATAATAGCTCAACCAACAATACTGGTTTAAGTCTCGATTTGAACCTGTTTTAATACCGAAAAAAGCAATGGAAAGTTACATCTAACACAAATCGGTGAACCCATTCACTTTCGCGCCCAGAATTTGATGTATTTACGTTGAGCACTGTGTGTCGGTGGGTCAGGAAGCGACCCACATGCGCGACACAGGCTCGCTCGATAGCTCGTTCGCCCATCGGCTATTATGCAATTGGACGGCCGGCCAGCCGAGAGCTGCGCGCTTCTTACATAATCTTCTGGGTCAAACCAGACCAGTTACAAAAACGAAAGAGGCAAGTGCCGTTGCGACTGCTTTTCTTCCGCATTTTACTGAATAACCTTTCTGTGAGATCCCACAGACAACTGTTTTATCTAGTCACGATGATACCAGACCTCATGAGAACAAANNTAATGAATGTCTGTTTGCTGGATCATCTATCTCAGGAGCGGCCAATTTGTTCATTCTTGATCTATTGAAATGATTTTTTTTTTGTCTCATTTTTTCAACGATCTCTTTAATATAAACTCTTAAAATATAAGCAACATTATATAAAAAACTGCAGACACAATATTAATGTTACAAATCACGACTTCAAAACATAGTTCAATAAAGAAAACGTATATTTGATAAATAGCAAATAGTTCCAATTTGGAATAACTATTATTTCAACTCTAACACATCTAAATTAATATATACACGTAATAGTATATTAACAATTCAAATTTCAATACCTTGCTTTGTTTAGAATGTTACAACATAGATGATTATTTAAGAGATGTACAAAAACACTGCGCATTAGAACAAGTAACAGAAGAAGAGAGGAACCAGATGAACAACATAGTGAAAGTTACCAAATTATATCATTTAGAAAAGATGGCTATATTAAATTAAAATTAAGAAATGAATAATATTATAATAAACATGAAGAAAATTGAAATAATGAATATAAAACGTAAATTTTATATTATTTTACGTAAAAAAATAAAATTTATTAATACTATTTTTTATACGATGAAATAGTATTGTCATTGTACGTAAAAATCAACTTTTGACCTAATTTTCGCTGCAACATTAACAATCTCAATTACACTAATAAATTGCAATTTCTAAATCGTAACCAATTTCCAGATCCTATTTTCATATTTTTTTTTCTATTCTCTGAATTTCGTTTGTTAGCTTTTCACATTGTAAATGATCAAATTGAGCTAATTACGTTGAGCAATGACCTGAAATTACAAAAGAGACAATTATGTAATAAAGGATGAAAAAAAAAATATTGAAATTGTTGCACAAGATCCTCGAATCCCATGGACAAAAGCGCAGTAAGGTCCAATCGATTTTCAGCTCGTTTTCCGAGTTTCCACAATAGTTATTATTGCACTGGGACAGGTCACGACGATAATATGAAACAACTGTAATTACCGCTAGATTAGGTACAATCTTTTTATAATACAGCAATTTATATTAAATATCATTACTTCTAGAAAATTGTATATTATCAAGTCAACATTTCAATATAAATGGAGATTTATATATGTGTGTGACATACACGATGGTAAAACATAAATATAAACAAAGGAATAAGATGTGATTTAGAAATTATCCAGACTAGAGTAGTCTTGTTACATATATTTTATTTAATTATGTAATCAAATTTCGGTTAAAGCAATTATTGTTTCTTACTATTTCTAATATGATTTAGTTTTGATATTAGTCTATGTAAGATGTTATATAAAAATACGGCTATTACAAATGATCAGCGAATGAATGAAAGCGTAAATAGTGTAATTTCGTGTTTTAATTTTTGGGTCATAATTCGGTTTGTTTGTTTTGTTTTTACTATTTTGCATTCATTTCCTCTCTGTCGTCATCACAAATCCATATCTCTCTTTCTCTTATTCTACGATAAACACATGCATGTATTGGTAATCGTTACGTGTTCGAACCGCAACAAAACTCGAAGACTTATGTAACTAAGAAAGAAAAATAAATACTGATGAACAACAATGACGACGAACTGGAACCTGTGAAATAGATAGTAACAATTTTTTTGTTTAATCCATAGCACATATATATTAAATTAACTTGCACGTAACAATGTTTAACATTTATATAATAGGTAAATGGCGGGAGATCGCCGAGGATGAAGAATGGTTGCGCAACATATTTTATTACACTTGTGACATAAACATTGTACATTTATAGTAAAGGACAATAAAGACACGTCTCGCGTGACGTAGACCAAACAAAGAACCTCACCAAAGGAGGTCTTCTAAACGGTATCAATAGCATGTCTACCGCAATTCATCCTTGAAAGTGCTAATGTTATATAAATTTTAAAAGAATTGAATAGTCATTTTGATTGCAGAGTGCTCTGAAATTCAATATAAATACATTAGCCTTTCGATGGTCTTTTTATGATGAAAATCTGATTCGAGCAGGCTATAAACTTCCTGGATGTCTAAATTGAGGACATTTCATTATGAAACTATCAAAAATAAGTAAATAGACATATTGAAAAACCACGTAATTAAAAATAAAAATAATAACTTATTGACATTTAACAATTTTTCAATAATCCAAATTTAGCTTCATGAAATACTTCAAAGTGTAAATAATTGATAATAATAAATATTACGAAAACATTTCAAAATTTCTTCAAAATTCAAAGCTAATGGATTAAGATTCAAAAGTCTCACAACGTTTTCACGAAGAAATTTCACGAACTTGATATTTTTATTATAAAGCAAAATTCATATATTCGCATAATGTTTATCAAATATCCTTAAGTAACATATGTAGTTAAATAATTAGATCGAAAAAGAAATGGCCTCTATCAGATATCCAATTTTATCATGAAATAAATGATATTCAGATGAAAGTTTATTTAAATTTAAATAATACCGTATAAGACGTGTAGGTAACATCATAATTAACACAATTTGTTTGTTGAGTTTGTAGTTTGATGATTTGTTGCAATAAATGTTATTAGTAATAAACAATTAAATCATTAAAATTTAAAAAAAAAATCGAAATTGATGCAGAAAAATCTAAAGTTTTCTTCTATGTTTGTTGTATCGCCAAAACTTTCGCAATTTTCTAGCTCATCCACTAAGTAGGATTGCTTAAAAGCAAATTTAAAAATCAAATAAAAAGAGAAGAATATAGTGTGGAATTACACGAAAAGCGGTGATTTTGAAATAGATCCCCACCGCCATTCAGAACTTAGCGAAGTTTATAAAAACACTCGATCCATAGAACTGTTCTGTTTCGTGGTAGTGTACTTGGCCGGCGAACAAACATAAACACTGCATATTATTTTTTTGTTAATAATTGTTGATAGTGGTTGCGAAGTAATTGGTTGGTGGGACGTTACCTAATAATATATATTTATACAGTTTACTAGGTAAGTCATATCGACAGTTTAGGAATGTACTACAAAACGTGATTATATACATTCACTAATTTGAATAATACATTAAACTTTAAAACAAGGTTTTTTTTTAATCAAACATTTGCTGCATTCAAAATAGAATTGTTATAGACAGGTGAAGCAAATAACTTTTAATATGTAATTCTTTGAATTAACTTCTAATATTTCATCTAAATTGTCTTCATTTTTACAATCATATTCATATAACTGATTGAATACATTCGAATTTACAACTTTTTATATATCAAATTACATCATTCTATCAAAATATTATTCTCTAGCCAGATATATCTTCTTTTCACTAATTCAGAATTATTATGTTTATTTATTTAATATATGTTTTTAATATACAATAAAACCTCGATTAATTCGTTCCAAAATTTACTTGTATAGTGAAACATTTTCAAAAATACATATAATATTTGTACACAAGTTTTAGAAATGATGTATTGGTAGCGCAATCCGCGATTTCTCATCTCTTCATCACTCGTTATGCGAAACGTCACTCGTTACAACTTATTTTGCTCGTTAAGCAAAATGTTCATTATGCGATGTTCTTGTTCAGCGAAGTATCACTGTATATTATAACTTTTTTTTTTGCTTTTGTTCTCTTTATATTATAGATGTATCTTTTGCAAATTCTGGCCAATATTTTTTTTATATTGATCAAAATTGTTTTACTCTTTGGACACCAAAAAAATAATCGATAGCCATTTAAATACTCCAATAAAAATTATTAAATAACAGATTCCAAAAGTAACAAATACATTTTTTGGTCCTAATTAAATTACGCAATTACAATGGAAAATTCAAACCGCATACTCGAAACTTGACATTGGCTTCACCCGTCCTCAAAATATTTCATCATTTGTCACTATTGTTTGCCACTTTTGCATTCATAGTCATCAATTTTATGAAATGTATTTAAAATGCGTGGTTTAATTTGCATTCGTTTTACAAAACCCATTTATGTTCATGTCAAATAGTTCGGAACTATTAAAATTTTCACTACATCTAAATGTCAATATAAAAAGTTGCAAAGTAAAATATTTGAATTAATTACATAAATATTGATAAAAACACTTTTGAATTTTGCAATTTGTCGTCATATTTTTTTTATTAATTCATTCATTAGCACCGGCTTCACAAGTTAGCATAATAGTTTAGAATTGTATTTCGTAAAGATATATAGACTCGTTAAATAATACAAAGGATATTATATAATTCCAATATTTGGTACTAATATTTACTTATTACAACATACACACTTTTTATTTTCGTCTTCGGCGAATGTCATTAAAAAAACATTGGTTTACATAACCGAGAACCGCATAATTCAATCGTGAATTTGATGTGTATGTTTTTATACAGGTTTTCAAATTATTTTTAGCAAATCGTGTTATTTTCCTTGATTGGAAAACAATGCGGAGTTCACAAAAATTGCTGAAGCCCTTAATAGGCAATGTTATCAAAAAAGCTACGTACTCGACCAAAACCGATAGACCTTACTCTACTGCGATCGGTGTAATGCCAGATGAATATGAGACTATCCCTCAGCATTACGAACCAAGTGTTTCTGATATTAAGCCTTACTCGGAGGTGCCTGGTCCCAGAGAATTCCCTTTAATTGGAAACTCGTGGCGCTTTGCCCCTTTAATCGGTAATTTGGATTTGATTATAGTATGTTTTTTGTATTCGAGATTATAAAAGAATATGTGCGCAGGTCAATACAAGATTCACGAATTGGATAAAGTCATGTGGAGTTTGTACAAAGATTTCGGGAAGATCGTCAAGGTTGGCGGATTGATCGGTCATCCAGATCTGCTGTTCGTGTTCAGCGGCAACGATATCCAAAAAGTATTTAGGAAGGAAGAGGTTCTACCGCATAGACCGTCTATGCCGTCTCTCCACTACTACAAGCAACATCTCAAAAAGGAATTCTTCGAGGGTAATGAGGGTGTTATAGGGGTGCACGGCCCTAAGTGGGATGATTTTCGAAAGCAGGTACAGCAGATCCTCTTGCCACCGGCAACAGCTAAAAAGTACATAGACCCACTGAACGTGATAGCCTCGGATTTCCTTGATAGGTATGTTGTCTAATCCTCAATTCATATTTTTGGCCTTTGACCGTTAAGTTGCATTGCTTTGAAGGATGGATGACATGAGGGATTCCAATGATGAGCTTCCTTCGAACTTCCTTTCCGAAATCTACAAGTGGGCTCTCGAATGTAAATTGTAATCGTCATTCAATATTCAGCAGTATTAATTAAGTCATATGATTTCAGCGGTAGCCCGTGTTGCTCTTGATATAAGGTTGGGCTGCCTGAATCCTGATCTGGCTGAAGATTCGGAATCGCAGCGGATCATCGACGCGATCAACACGTTCTTCTGGAATGTAGCCGAGGTCGAGCTGAAGATGCCCGTCTGGCGAGTCTACAAGAACAAATCCTTCCGGAAATACATCGGCGCTTTGGAGGACTTCAGAACGTGAGTCAATGTCAAGGTCGAACACTTTCGCTTGGCCGCGAGTTCCCCGACGAAATCGAAAGTGCTAACCGCTAGCTAGGTCAACATAGAAATATAGCTTGTTTGCTTTCGTTCGCAGCGTCTGCATGAAGTACATCGAACAGACCATGGACAAAATGCAAGTGAAGAACTACGATAACATCAAGGAGGAGGACATTTCTATAGTGGAGCGTATTCTTCAGAAGACCCAAAATCCAAAGCTGGCGGCCGTACTTGCCTTGGATTTGCTTTTGGTCGGAGTTGACACTGTAAAATTCTTTGCGTAATTAAAGAAGGATCATGTTGTTTTCAATGATATTAACCTTGCAGACTTCCATCGCTTTGGCCTCGACCATCTACCAGCTCACCCAAAACCAAGCCAACCAGGACAAACTCTACGCCGAACTTAAAGCAGTCATGCCCAATAAGGATTCCAAAGTTGATGCTACAGTTCAAGAGAACATTCCTTACCTAAGAGCCTGTATCAAGGAAACTTTAAGGTCCTTATAATATTTTACATTTAATAACTATCAGATAAACTTCAATAATTCAATTAAATATAATTTCTTGTATTTATTAAAGCGCAAAAATCTTATTTTATTCTAAGATTTCATAAAGTCCAACAATCAAGAAGAAAAATAAGAAATATATTCTTCAAAAAAAAACTGCAGTTGCTACTCATTTTAAATGCATACAATGATATTCATAATATTGATTTGAAACATAATTTGTAATATTTCAGAATGTATCCCGTTATAATTGGGAATGGAAGAAGTCTTCAATCGGATACAGTGATTTCCGGTTACAAAATCCCAAAAGGCGTATGAGCAACACCAAACAGTTAATTATAAATTTACCAAAACTAAACCAAATCTTGTTTCAGACGCACGTAATTTTTCCACATCTGGTAGTGAGTAACATCGACACATACTTCGACCAGCCGGAAACCTTCCGACCTGAAAGATGGATCAAGAAGTGTCCGGTAAAGCACCATCCTTTCGTCTCCCTTCCATTTGGTTATGGTAGGAGGTCGTGTCTTGGTCGTCGGTTCGCCGAAGCGGAACTGCACATAATGCTAGCTAAGGTAAGTCTCTACAACGGAACGAACCGTACGAAGATTTCAATGATCGACATTCCACTTATTACAGATATTCCGGAAGTACAAGGTGGAATACAATTACGGGGAATTAACCTATAAGATCACGCCCACCTACGTACCGGAACAACCACTGAAATTCAAACTCACGGAACGCAAAGATTGAGAAATTTGCACCCAAACTATCCAACTATAGGACTGATAATTAAGTATTAAATATGACTAAGTTAAGTTTACATTGTACAGTAATATATTAACCGAAATAAAATAGTTTTAAAACAAAAATCATTTTAAAGTTAACATAAGTAATATCCAGATTAATAAAATAATGGTTGTCAGCTTTGGTTAGAACAAATAATTTAGGAGTGTACATCCGAATTTAGGTCCGATATATCTTAACAAAAGCAACCTTACGTATATATTTCCTCCATTATATTTCTTTCAACTTACTTGATAATCGATCTGTCGCAACATCATAGATGCTTTTTTGGCAAACTCAAATATTTTCGTAGGCATTAATCCTACTTGGATCCTAGTTGCACTCATCCAATTCCAAAAATGTCGCATTTTGACCGAGAACTCCTGCAAATTGAAGTGATTTCATTGTATTTCATCAACGCGTTAAAAATTTCTCGAGTAGCGACCATCATTATCTCTGCTAAATTTCAGGCGATCAGTATAAAGCAACCACTACTTGATTATCAAGTCTGGTCTAAAATGAAAAGTTGGTCAATATTCATAATCTTGAATACATCAGAAGGCAAATAAACGTAAATTAAACAAATTTATCAACGTTAATCACATTGAATAACATGAAGTTGTACTTAATTATATCTCCTAGTCTTGGAGATAAAGTATTTTTTATTCATGCAAAATATTGATATAAGAATTGAAACAGATCCATCCAAAAACCAACTATTCCCAAGGCAGATACTTTGGTAAGCAGAACAAGTGAGTGGACTAAGACTTCTCGTCTCCCATGCCGAATGGTATTGGGGAGCGACAATACCATTCTTCTTAACGTCGTTAATAATAATCCACATCGCATCAAAGAATTTTCTTTATTATTTTTTACAATAGATCTTTTACAGTCTTGCAGACACAATATCGCATACTTAGAAATAGTTATTCTTTAATATTTTCATTTTTGTAAATTCGCTAACAACAAATAGCTCAGTACAACAAAAAAGTTAATAATCAGTATAGTTCCTTTTCCTTCCCTTCTCATCGCCATCATCATAATATTTATTATCATCTTCAAGAGTTTTAACAATTAACAATCAAAGATAATACAAGTTTTGTTTAGCATTACATATTTTTATTTTACCTCCATTTTTCATTGCTCATTCTTTTATAGTTTCTTTTAAATTTACAACTACTTACATTTGGTGTTTCTCGATATACATTGATTTTTATTTAAATTTGACTAATTGCTTTTACAATGATTGTTTTTTTTTATCGTTGCGCTTCAATGAACGTTAGGTTTTTCTTTACATTTTCTTTTAATTTTTCTTCTCTAAAGTTGAAAAATTATAAATTAATCATTCAAGAAATATAAGGTAGGAGGTTATAGAGAAAGAGAGAGAGAGAGAGCAAAGTAATGATGTCATCGTCGCATACACACGTTAGGTAATAAAAATTTCAAATATAAAGTCCAACAAACAAACAAAAAAAAATATAAGAAAGTAATATAAATAAAAAAATAATAATAAATAATTCAATAAATGTATATGTATATATCTTTATGTATATATATATGCATATATGAGAACCGTTTCATTTTCTTGTAGTAATTAATATTGCACTCTCTTTCATGTAGTATTAATAATAATTATAATAAGAAAAATATAATAATGTGAGTCCGAAGCATTTTAAATTCCATTTATGTATAAATATCTATTGAAACTGAGAGAGAGAAAATTAAACAAAACAAGAAATATTGTCCTAAAATTCTTCAAAGAGAAGTCATAGTGGTGGAGCGCGATGCGGTGGTCCCAATACAAAAAAAAGGTATTTAATTAAATTGACTAGTTTTAACAGTTAACAGAATAGATAGCGTATTGGGCGCCAAAAAAAAATAAACAATTGTATAAATGATGAACGAAACTAAAACATTTCTTTAAAATGCTTGGAATCGAAATGCACAGAAATGAATTCAACGTAGTATTAATAATAATCATAAAAATAACCCACGTGTGGCTAGATTATTGCTAAATGATTGTTGTCGACTGTATCTACCAGAAGGTATAACCGCCGTCTGAGCTGCCGGCCAAGAAGGAGCCTTTCTTCTGACCTAGTGCCACATGATGACCAGCCATGGCGGCGATTTGTGCAGCAGACGGCGGGACACCTGGAGGTGCCGGCGGCAGCACCGGTTGGGCGATGCCGTCGAAGCGAGCACCGCCGTCATAACCGTTGGGAATCATGATCGTAGGCCTCAGCTGGGCCGGCTGCATGGCGTACGAGTAGGCGCCGATCGTTGGGTAGTACTGCATAGGAGCGTATGTCGGATACCCCAGATAAGTCGGATATCCAGCCATGTACGTAGCTCCTGGAGGATACATCTATAAAACAGACGCTACATATTTAACAACTCCTAAAGTCAATAATATAACATAATAACATATAGTTATTGTCCGTGATCGATCAGTCTCTAAAATCTTATAAAATCACATGCAATTAATTTACAAAAATACCCCGAATTGTAATTACAAATTCCACTAATTCATGAGAATTAGCAAGTTTTTCATTCTATTTTTTTTTTTGCATAAATAAAGATCAACTTACCGGTTGCCCAACTATAGCAGGGTGTGTCAACGCCTGGTCATACGTGGGGGGTGGTCCTTGCGGATAGAGCTGGGCTTGCCCAGGGATCATGTAAGGAGCCGCCCCCGGAACTCCGGGCACCATCGCTAAAAATCAAACATTAAAAACAAACAAAATGTTAAAACATACCTTCTTGATACAACCCACGTGCTTCATATAGTACTTAAATATTACTTAAACATGTGCATTACTTGTTTATCTGTATATCGTAATCGACCATATATCGTTTTGTCTCAAGATTTTTTTTTCTCATTTTGCCAACAACAATTTACCTCCATATGGATGCGGAGCAGGAACAGGTGGGTTGGGTTGGGGTGGAGGTGGTGCCTGAGTGAAAGCTGGTGCCGATACGGGGGGCGGAACACCGGATCCTAAAAACAGACCGCATAAAAAACAAAATCCAAATGATATAAAACAACAAAACCCCTCCCTCCCAAATAAAAACAGAAAAAATAGTTACCAATAACAACGAAATAATTGAAAATAAAAACTTGCCCAGAGCAATAATAATATAATGGAAATCGTACCAAATCGCAACGTGACGTTCGTTTTGATACAATTTATATGAACTTAAAAATATATTAATAACAAATCTATTAATTATTATTTATAGATATTAAGGGCAAAAAAAGTAAATTATATAAATTAATGTTTCTTAGTTGTTATCAGTAATTATAATATAATTATATTTATAAAAATATATAGATAATTAAATTAAAATAACATACAGCATTGATCAAAATATCACTAAGTATCTAGTTGTCAAAATTAGTTCAAAAACAAAGACACATTAATTAACAATAACATCGTAAGCTGCAAAATCCAAGGATGAATCGATTTCAATAAGTTTGGTCCTTTCAAGAAATACGTTTGTCATCGATTGAATCATGGATTGCAGAGTTCCTGAAGCACTTTTGCTTCGTGTAATTTCAGGCTTCACATATAGGTACCATGCACATATATATATATTAACGAGGAACCGAGGGCGGTCTGAAAGATTGCAAACGACCGCCCGCCGATTGATGGTAGTAACATGCAAAAGTAAGACCGAATGAACAATAATAACCAAAAGAAACCGAAAACGTGAAATTAAGTACGAATACTCGTATTCGCGAATCTTCAACATGGAACCCGCATTTCTTATCATGCAAAAAAAAGCTTAATGAAAAGTATCAATTTAGAAAAAAAAGACTAAAATTATAAATCATAATGATGATGATTGAAACAAAATGAGCAATTTAAATTAACTGTTATCAAAAAGTAAAATTGCTATTGATAAAATTGATCATTAATAATTGATAAACTGAAGATAACAATTTAAAAAATAATCACTCGATATAATATAAAACAGTAGAATAAAAATTAATAAAATATTGGTAACATGCGACTCCATCTCTAGTGTCTAGAAAAATACTACCATGCATTTTTTTTTCAGAGTACTTTTTCCATAACATTTTTCACTTTGAAGAAATAAAAGGAAAAAAGTACTCTGTATAATATTAATTAATTTATAATACATTATGTATATCTTAAATTAGTAATTATAAGTAAATGGTACAACATATACGTATTTGATACAGTGGGCGTAGATATTTACAGAAATTATTATTTGAAAAAGTAAAGTAAACGAAAAGCAATTTCTGTTATGATCAATTTTCTCTTGTTTAGAAATACAAAAAGAACAATTATAACTATTTTAGCGTAGTAAATGTGCTTCAGTAGTTTAGCCAATATTGTAGCAACACCTGGGGGTGTAAATATCCAGTAAGTACCACCCTAACATACCCAAACACACACGCAAACACACCAAGAAAACAATGAATACACAAACAGAAAACAATTATAAAGAAAATTAATCAAAACCAACAGAAAGTATCAAACTGAATGACTGAATGATATTATTTTTCATCAAAAATAAATTAAAGCATGCAGTGAACAGAAATTAAATTGTGAAAGTTAACAGCAAGAAATGACTCTGATAAAAGAAAATAAGTGAATTCTAAAGTTTGGACCACATCGATTCTTTTTACACATCGTCAGCTACAGTTAATTAATAAAAATAAATGTAAAATAAAAACAATAAATATGGTAACTTTAAATACCAAACAAAGATAATTCGAATAGTTTGCATTTGATTGTTAAACAAAATTCGCGTTTTTAATTGGTTTATATTATTAGCATGGATAATGTCAGCTTATTCGTATTATCATTTGTACGGTAAGCAAAGTTGGAAGCAATCCCAACAAAAAAAAATCTAGTGAAGGTAAAGTCGTTGAGCGGGTAACCAACAAGCATCAGCCACTGTATAAATAAACACATGAAAATAAATAGGTACTGTTTGGTCGATTTGTAGTCCTCCTCGACTGAAACTCTGAAACTGTAACTCCCGTCGCCGGTTTCTGATGTCTCTTATTTCTTGGTTTAATTCGCTCACTGCAATAACATAGGCATCATCACACATTTTAGTCTAACCCAAAAGTGCTTTTTGATTTTAATCCTCTCTTATAAATTTAATTTCTCATAATAAACAATAATAATCATAATTTCAGCGTTTTACAAAAACGAAACAAAAAGTAAAGAAAATAATGCCTACAAAAAATAAATGTACGAATGATCAGACAAAACCGTCAACTTAATAATTCATATACACCAGTGTTGATTCATTTAATGGCCTTACATTAAAAACACTGGTTTATACTAATGATCATCCAGGTTTTCTATTGACAAATGGTTTTAAGTTACCGTGATAATAATGTTAACAATACAAGTTTCTTAATTGTAAAAAATCCCAAAGGGCGGAGAAATCGTCCAAGTAAACCAACAAATAATAAAATATTTTTAGATTCACTAATCATTAATAAATCGCTGATTTTAATTAAACTGTGTGCTATCTCATGATTATTTAAAAAAAAAACTTTATTTGTTACCATTGTTGGTACAGATTTAAAAAAAATATTCATATAAGTTGCTGCTTGTAAGTATTAAACCCCTGATAAAACGCATTATTGATCCCCGTTAGAGATAGAAAGCAGCCCGTAAAACAAAATTTTTAAGGCGTAACCCGGCCAAATGTTTACAGATAACCAAGCAATAAAGAAAACCTGGACGATTGTTGCAAAATAATGCCTAAGCCAGTGGCTTCATGTTTCTAATTTGACGTGTATCCCCTCGAAGGCAATCAAGGATCATGAATATGACAGGAAGTACTCGTAGCACGCAAAAGGGGGGAGGAGTGAGTGTGAGAGTTAGTAAAATCGGGTTACGAGAGAGCAGGTCGATACTTGGGATGACACTGATGGCGGATAAATAAATGAACACATTTTCCGTCCCGAGCGGTAACATATTCCTTGTGTAGAGACATGTAGAGATTCGGGTAGGTGTCTCCAAAACACTGCAGCATTTGCAATGTTGCAATGTGGGACAAGGCCAAGGGGAAAAAGTATTACAGCATAGCTAAACGAAAAGGCACGAACGAGCCTTAGCAAACTGTGTGCGTACAACGGAGAGGGAGTGAACCTACTAAAATTTAGTATTGATTGGTACATCCTGCATTATATTATTCTTATGCAATTGCTAATTCCATCACAACAATAGAAGAAAAATCTATGGAAAGGTGGTGAAAATAAAGTGAGAATCTACAGATAGGGAAGAAAATCATCTCGTGGGTGGAATGAAAAAAGAAGTTCACAGCATTGTAGAAAGGGAAATACTTCGAAAATAGTTCTTGTAATATTGGAACGGAACAAACGGTGAAAAAAACAAACAAATTCTCCTGATGGAGATCAGTGTATTAAGGTTCGAAGTTGCAAAAAATAAAATATATATAAGTAAAATAAGACACGAATAAAAACACAAAGATTCATCGATTTCGATATTCTCACCTTTCTTGTCGGCCATTTCTTGTGGCTTTAATTTAAATAAATTTCTTCTGGTTTTCGGTTCGATCAAAACAAAACTCTAGAGGCTGAAGGGAAGTGTTGTTCTTTCCGCCAGATTTAGTTAGAAAACAAATGCCAGATTCGACAAACGCACAACAAAAACAACAATCGAATTGGATCGGTTATGCTTTTCGACTTTAGCTGCTGTATCTGACACAGTATGTAGCTCTAAACTTTTTTTTCTACTGCATTCGTTTAAACAAGTGCTAAAATAATCAACACAGATTCGGAACAGCTACAGAACAATTCGGCCCTGCTGCGGAACTGGTCTCTAGGATAATTCGCGCGCACGACCTCGAAGGACAAGGATGGCAAATCGCTGTGCAACTGCAGGTTGAACCGAGATGCACTCTGCGCTACTTGGGTTACTAGAATCAACTAGAATCCCGTTGCAGTAATGCCAACCGCGCGCGGATCTTGGTGGATTCTTTCGATCTACTTGTTATTAATGAATGGAAAAAATACAAACAACGTTGGAACAGAGGCGCTTTACTTTATCCGCTCGCAAAAGCTATAATTGAATGCAAAATTCTAAAAAAAAAACGGACGATCATCTGGGATTTCCTCAATCAGCATGTGCGATATAGCATTTTAGTTTTGAATAAAATGGCCATTTATGGCCAGACACTTTAGATACTATTATATTAATTTTATCAACAAAGATTCACAAATTCCTAACACAGTCAATAATCATATATTTTACATTCAACATGAGCTTATATTTATTTTTGCTATGAGTACCATCTGTATCCATTCTTATTGTTTAATATTTCTTCTGCAAATACTTGCTCTACAATAGAATGAATCACAATTTCGAGTCAAAATATACGCGCCTAATAAAACTGAGCTAATAAAAACCGTAATAGTCGTTTCAATATAAGTACACATATAAAAAACTATTTTGGCTTATCTGAAATATAAATTATTAAAACAATATTTCCACGATTATTTCAATACATAACTTGTACGATATTTTCATGAAATAATTTTGTTTTAAAAACAATAGATTAGTAATAAATAAATCAAATTTGCAGTATCTAGACACATACAACAAAATCAAATGAAATGACTTATACAAATCAGTATTTTGTTCAAGCAAAATAATTGAAAAGAATACAATACTTACGTCTACGATGATTTACATGATGCATCCTAACTTTAGGCCAGTTCTTAGTAGATGTTGATGAAAATAAAACTGCGAAACTAGTTTGATTGTTTTCTCTCGCTATCTGAAACAAAAATAAAATTATATAAATTTTACTTTCACATTCTAATTTTGCAGTTACAATTTCAAAGAAATTGTATTTTGATATGTAAAACTGGTTGCATAAATAATAAAATGTGTACCTGTAGTTGTCTAACCATCGACTGTCAAAATAATTAACTGTCAGGAGTAGAGGTTAAACGCAAACAAACGATGGATGAAAGGCAAATTATTTAAGGATAATCACAAAACATAATTTGAATGTTTGATTGACACATTTAAATTACAATTTATCGCCATGTCTGGCACGAAAAGGAGGACCCTGACAATCGGTGAAAAAATAGAAATAATTAGTGCCATTGAACAAGGTACAAGTAATTCCTCAATATCAAAGAGATTGAACCTGAGCTCATCAACGATCTCCACTATTTGGAAGAAGAAGGACATTATCATAAATGCCTTTGAGAAGAACAAATGTAACCTGAAGAAGTTACGAACCACTGAAAAAAATGATTTAGAAGAGGCTTTACTCAGTTGGTTCAAGATACAAAAAGAAGATAATATGCCCATCAGCGCGACGACGTTCAAACAGCATGCAGAATCCTTGGCCTCAGAACTTGGGTATGTGTTAACAAATGGTTGGCTAAGTAGATTCAGGAATAGAAATGGTATTATGTATGATAGATCTACTGGGGAAGTAGTTGTGGAGTCTGTAATCCCTGATAATATGATACTGAGAGATGAACCAACTCACATAGATGACCGATCTGTGATTAATGAAGAACCATCTATGCATGAATCATTATTGGCTTCTGTCAATGTTGAGATTACTGAAGGCAGTGAAGAAAATAATAATCCAGAGTTTATAAAGCAGGAACTTAGTGGAATCACAGAGGCACAAACAGCCCTAGAAACATTAACTTTTTTTTATGAAACTAACAATATAGACCCACAATTTTTAAAGCACTTGCATGGTTTAAAAGAGATTGTGCAGAAAATGACTAAATAATGAAATAAAGTGATTTACCCAATCACATGTGATATAGTGTACAGTGTTTTAATATAAATGTTCATTGGAACAATTTCGAATTGTTGATTAAGAATAAAAAAAATAAAATGTTATTTGCTATATTGTTATTAATTAAATAATAATCTTTATGTACATTTTATAATAATTATTTATTTGCAAATATTAACTCTATTTGGACCAAAGATCTATCTTTCTTATGTCTTTCCGCCTTTTTCTTAATATTTTGATTGTATTTTAAAAGAGTTTGCTGTAAATAAAATTGATCCTTACTTTTATTATAACATTTAATAATTATATTATGCAAAACCGGTTGCCTAATAACGTTCGAAACGCTCAAATTTAGTCACCTGTTCAATGAAAAGGCACTATTTTTTTACAAATTAATATGCTCAAATTGTATGAAATATTTCTGAAAATATACGTATTGTTTCCTTTATATATTGTTAAGAAAATTAATTGTATATAGTTGACCAGAGTGATACAACTTTATAAAATTTAATTGTAATAATAATACTAGTTTGTGTAATGTAAAAATTGAAACTTTATACACAAGCATTTTAATTAATCATCAGAATTTTTTTCTAGAATTGTATGAAAAGGATAATTTTAGGATATTTGTTTTATGGAAAGAAATATATAAATAAAAACAAAATATAAAATAATAAAATATTCAATTACAAATGAAAACAAAAAACATCACAATTACTAAAAACTAAGCAAGTAAAGTATACATCTACTTGTAAGAAAACTTAGCAATTATATAATAGATGAACTGGAATACAATAATTAAGTATTTGCAAATGATCTAAAAGTAAACAAAATAATATGATAAATAAATATGAAATGAATATATAGGTGAAGAAATGAATAGATTTATATATTCTGAAAATTCCAAGTGAAAAAATCTAGAAGTTTGAAAATGTTGAGAAAGTAAATTCTCTTTAATGTTTGTTACAACATGTGTAAATGTTGTATTACAGAGAACATGAAGTTATTATTAGATATTTATGTGATCTTTTTTTCTCTATAACAAAGTAAAAATGATCAAAACTTACTCATATCCTTGTTAGTATTGCATCCATGTCAATTCTGTAATTCCATGATTGCCTCACCACTATCTCCAGGATATTCTTTGCTCCAAACACACTAAGCTGCCATTGTACTGATTATCTTAATTTTCTTGAGCACAACCTTAGTAACAATGATCAATTAGTAAAATGCAAATGTATTAGCTATTGAAGCAATATACTAAAATCAACAATTCCACTTGAAGGAATAAACATTAATTGCAAAATTTGCAACATTTTAGTGCAAAAAGGTTATAATTTTTCAAATGAAGTTAATATTATTAACAAAACATAATTTCCCTTTCATTTTAACTCTCAATGTTCTTTTTTGCACTAACCAGCAAAATATTTTAAGGAAACAAAGAGAAATCGAAAGAGGCCGCGACCATGATTATTTGGTAAAAACAAAACACAAAAGAAGATAAGTCTTTACGTCGTTGTTTACTTCGGGGATAGACAAAATTATTCCTTTGCATCCGTAACTATTGACGTTCAAATTGGAACATTGTGTAATTGATTGTACAATTAAATGGGAAATTATTGCTCACCTCGGAAATTTCAGCATAGAAGTCGGAATTAATTCTTGATCAAATTCTTCACGTACATGACAACCTCCATCTTCAGCAGCAACTACCAAGAACATTGTTACCAACTATAGATCTGTGCAGTGATTGCTGTATCAACATTAAAGCGTAAATAGTTTAAAAGATAAATAACAATTTTATTATAATTAAAACTAATAAATTGTTGTAATTACTATTGGATTTATTTTTATGTTCGTATATATGGTTGGCATGGAATTATTTGGAGCAATATTTCTCCACGACGTTGGTAGACAGTGGCCCAGCTGTCAGTTTTGTGATATTCCTGCAGAAGCACATAGAAGATAAATTTATTATTTCTCCCAAAACAATAAATAATAAATTTTAAGTTTTTTAATTTGTCCCAGTATCGGTCCGAGCATCGTTTTTTTTTGTAAATAATTACCAAACCATCCGACAGGGTTATGATTTAAATAGGTATGTTCGAACTCTTAATTCGCCACGAAATTTCACTGCTGTGACTTGTATGTATGTATATGAACGTGTATATATATACACATCATGTACGGTATTTTTTTCTCATCTAAAAACGGCACTATCTGTCACTATCCATGAACCAAACCCTGTGTTTTGAAACGGACGCTAGGGCTTTGTCTCTAAACCTGGGGCTTATTTTGTAAGGTTAGGGCTTTGACCTCATTCAATTTATTTTTTTTGTTTTATGTCTAAATTGTCAACAATGACATATTTTGTTAGTCAGGGAAATTCAAATGAATAAATAAATTGATTTACCAATTGGACCTAATTTTAAACCATTCTCTTTTCAGAATTACTGTTCTTATTTTTAATCATTAAAGGTGGAACTAAAGTGGAAACGTTTTTTTTGCGTTACTGCTTAAAGAGTGTAAGAGAATGTCAAGATCCACTGGGATGACTTCAGCCAATACACCAGGGCTCAAGCATATAGATTTGGATCAAATATGGGAGGAACTGCACACTGGGATAGAGCATATGTACAACTTCCAGAGTATGTCTCGCACAGATTACATGATTTTGTACACTTATGTCCATAATTACTGTACATCAGTCCATAAGAGTAGTGAGTGGAGCTCTTCTTCAGTGCAGTTGAAAAGCAAAAAGAATCAGGCTACCAGTGGGGCTCAGCTGGTTGGGCTGGAGCTGTATAAGAAACTACGAGAGTTCTTAAGAAATTATGTCCATCACAAATTGCAAGCGGGCTTGAATCGTATGGACGAGGACGTATTGAAATTCTATACTAAGCAGTGGGAGGAGTATAGACTGAGCAGCAAAACAATAAGTGGTATGTGTTCCTATTTGAACAAATACTGGGTAAAGCGGGAGTATGAGGAAGGTCGTAAAGGCATCTTTGAGATTTATCAATTGGCCTTGGTTACGTGGAGGGACCACCTTTTCAAGCACCTCAACAAGCAAGTGACGAACGCCGTGTTGAAATTAATCGAACGCGAAAGGAACGGTGAAACGATAAATTCTAGTCTTGTTTTTGGTGTAATAAATTGCTATGTGGAACTTGGCTTGAATGAGGATGAGCCAGGCTTGAAGGGACCCAATCTAAGTATTTATAAGGAGAGTTTTGAAAACGTATTCATTGAAGAGACGGAACGATTCTATACGAAGGAGAGTACTCAATTTTTGTCGCAGAATAATATCACAGAATATATGAAGAAGGTGGAGCAGAGGTTAACAGAGGAGCAGAAGCGAATTCAAATTAATCTGCATGAATCTACTAGCGAACGATTAGCAAAGACATGCGAACGCGTACTCATCCAAAAGCACATGGAACTATTTCATGCAGAATTCCAGCAGCTTTTGGATGCTGAGAAAGACGTAGATTTGGGCAGAATGTATCAACTAGTTGCTAGAATTCCAGATGGTCTTGGTGAATTGAGGACACTTTTAGAGCAGCATATAGCAAATCAAGGTTTGGCAGCCATCGAAAAATGCAGCGAAACCGCTTATAATGATCCCAAGGTGTATGTAACAACAATCCTTGAGGTACATAAGAAATATAATGCTCTAGTCCTCGTCGCTTTCCACAATGATAGCGGATTCGTTGCCGCCTTAGATAAGGCGTGCGGCCGCTTTATAAACACGAATGCTGTAACCAGAATGGCGAGCAGTAGCAGTAGGTCACCTGAACTGTTGGCCAAATACTGCGATATTCTGCTAAAGAAATCCAGTAAGAATCCTGAAGAGGCCGAATTAGAAGATACATTAAATCAAGTCGTAAGTCTCATCTCGCTTTGTCATTGAAACAAAAAAGGAAATATTTTATTTGTAGATGGTAGTTTTCAAGTACATAGAAGACAAAGACGTTTTCCAGAAATTTTACAGTAAAATGCTTGCCAAGCGTTTGGTGCAACATATGTCCGCCAGTGATGACGCAGAAGCCTCGATGATCTCTAAACTTAAGCAGGCTTGTGGTTTTGAGTATACGTCCAAGTTGCAACGAATGTTCCAAGTAGGTATTTTGCTGCTGTAGCGTGCAACAGACGACTTATCTAATTATAATTCATAGGACATTGGAGTCTCCAAGGATCTTAACGAACAATTCCGGTCGCACCTGAAGAACTCTAATGAGCCTCTGGACATCGACTTCAGTATACAAGTACTATCTTCCGGATCATGGCCCTTCCAACAGTCTTTTTCGTTTGGACTACCCACAGAGGTAATTTCAACAATTTTTATCTTGAGCATAGAACTAAATATATTTTTAGCTGGAGAGAAGCGTTCACAGATTCACTAGCTTCTACTCAGGCCAGCATTCTGGTAGAAAACTTAATTGGCTCTATAATATGTCAAAGGGTGAACTGCATACTAATTGTTTTAAAAATAGGTACGATGTTAATATTAACTTCATTATTTGTAAAAAAAATAACGTGTTCATTACGTGCAGGTATACCCTTCAGGCGAGTACATTTCAAATGGCTGTGCTATTGCAATTCAACATGTCTGATTCATGGACGTTGGCGCAACTTACTGAGAACACCCAAATCAAGCACGATTACATGACACAAGTGATCAGCATACTGCTCAAAGCGAAGCTGATCACATGTGAGGAGGAGGAGAGCGAACTCAAACCAGAATCTGCGGTTGTTCTCTTCATGGGATATAAGAAGTAAAATATATTAAATATATCGATGAACGTTTTATACAGTTCTAATTCTCCTTACTTTTAAAGCCGGAAACTGCGCGTCAACATTAACATCCCAATGAAGACCGAACTGAAGCTTGAACAGGAGACGACGCACAAACACATTGAAGAAGACCGCAAATTGCTCATTCAAGCCGCAATTGTTCGAATAATGAAGATGAGGAAGGTGCTGAAACATCAGCAGCTAGTCGCTGAAGTCTTAAGTCAATTGAACACTAGATTCAAACCAAAAGTTAACATAATCAAGGTAATGTATTATATTTCCTGCAATTGTTCTGTTTTTTATTCAATTTTACGGTAGATTCATTTAGAAATGGAAGTGGATAATATTTCCATTTCGTTTTCTATTGTTTCTTAAAATTAATTAACAAAGCTAAGTGCTTGGTAATTTGTTACAATTGATTTATTTATCATTATTGTGATTCTGATTAAATTTGTTGAATTTTCTTTTAGAAATGCATAGATATTTTAATCGAGAAAGAATATCTGGAGAGAACTGAGGGCGAAAAGGATACGTACAGTTATCTGGCATGATTTCGTCCGTAACACTGCCCCCGAATTTCAAGCGAACTACCCCCTAACGTGAGTGTGGAAATGCTGCTTTACATGTGACTGTGTTTACTACATTGTACCCAATAATCAATCGATCGCCGCGTAGCCATCGGGGTACAATCTGTATACTACTTGTAAATATTTGTACTTTTAATATTTAGTTTATTATAATTTTTGGATTTATCAATATTATTATTATTACTATTTCATTTTAAAATCGATTTGCATGATGGACTTCTATTTCTCTGGACTCTAGGAACGAAGATTAAGAAAATAAATACACTGCCGAGGTTCCGTCCACTACTCGTACGTTAGCGGTGGACGGTTGCCGTAGGTCGTGTGACAGCATTCGTTTGAAATTAAATTTACAAAAAAATGCAACACAAAAGGAAAACAACAAGTGATATTCTTATATATATATATAATATTGTATAATGTTCTTTACATTTTAAGGTCGTTTTTGTGTATTATTTTTTAGATCGAAATTGTGACAATTATTATATTATTTTCTATATTGTTTTCTCAAAGGCGACTTAGGAGAGACAGCTTAAATGATGCAATTTGTTAAATTATTATTATTACAGCTAGGAAATTAATTGATTTAATGAAATGATGCTAAAATGCAATTTTATTTTGTTCTACTGTAAAGAATCTAATAAAAACATTTAATTTAAATAGGATCTAGATTGAATCAAATATTAACTGCCACAAAAAGAATGTGTGAGCGTTCACTTACTTACTCCCCGCTCCCAATGTTGTTCGTTGTTGGTATTTGAATCAACTTAAAAGATTTCTTCTTTTTTAAAAGAGAAAACTAATTGTACATTTTTTACGTTCTTATCCATAAATATTACGAATTATGACTAATTACAAAATTATATCCCATTGTTCCATATCGAACTGTATGTGTAATAAAAACGAACAAATTCTTACTTCCATTACTTCATTTTCATATAGATAACCGAAAAAGTACTTTCCATAGCAAACTATCTCAAAAGATGAGTGTTCGCTGATAACACTTTTTTAAATTGAATTAACATAATTTTTGATAAAATTTGCAATCAGTTGACGTATTTTGTTTTGCATATCAATAGTTTTGTTTGTTCTTTTCTTACCGTGATTATAAAATTGTATGTAGTGTGCAACTGATATATTGCATACGTATTTTGTCGTAATTAACAGTATTAAATTGGTCTTAATCGTTTATACATGTGTAAGTAAAGTGGATTCAATACAGTAATGGGAAATGATAAGATAATTAATGACAGTTTTCATGTTATAGATTTTACGTTTATTTGTCTGTAAATATACTATCTGATATATGTATATTATTGAAGATAAACGATCAGGACTAGTTTAAAAAGGTGCGGATGTTATTGATAAGATTATACTCAAATCAAAGTAAATCCTTGGACTAGCGCTATAAATAAATTCCCTCCCTAAGCAAAAGTATTCAAATAGAGATACTAAAATAAATATAAAATACTGGCAATCTGTTGCACTTTCAGCCTTTTCTCATCAAAAGCATAAAGACGAATCGCACGATTTTCTCGTAGGTCATGAAGAACAATGCCGCTGTCAATACTGTCTGCAGAAGCTTGGCTTCCATCCCTTGGAATAGAGCAGCTGGACCGTTTCTTTTGAGGATTGAGAGCAGGAGAGCCGCAGTGCTCATTTGACTGTTCTTGCCGTGCCTCTGCCTCGCCTGCGCCAATTGGATAGGATAAGTGGCTACTGTTGCCACAGCTTTTGATATGGCCCCGAAGAGGAAGAATACCGTCGCGCTCGACGTTTTGACATTCCTCTTAAGAGCTTCATAAACTGCGAAGTGGATAGCCGGATTGATAACCAGCATCAAGGAAGGACCCAATCCATTCCAAAGCGCAGAGACTCCTTCTTTCTGTGCTATATGCACAACGCCGTCCAATAAACCGGAAAAATGCTCAGATTTGTTTGCCTACATTAAACAATAATGAAAATTGAAACATTAAAAAAAAAACTACAATGTCCACTGAACTTTGGACTCGCTAATCACCTTCAACCTGCTATTAACAACCCATAAAGGAAGTGTAGCCAACACATTAGCCATGCCGGCAATCATTCCAAGACCTAAATCGTGAAGCGCGGATCCAGTCGTAATAGATTTAAGTCCATGAAAAGTATAGAAGTAGACAAAATTCGATGCTCCCAAACTTTGAAGTACCGGCTTCATGCCACGGTACAGAGCTTCTCTGTAAATTGTTGTAAATGTTATTATTTATGAAAACTGGTATAATTTAGATACTTTGAAAAATGTACAATGCAATGGTTCTTTACAATTGCTTCTACATGTTTTCACATAAATAGAAACAGGTTTCTTAATGTATATTTTTGACTTGTACTCAATTATTATTACTAATATATATTATTTGTTATAACTTACATTCCTTCTGTTCTAATAATGTGATATACTGCATGTAGACTGTTCATTTTCTTGAGTTCTTTAGCATTGTCATCTTCAACTAATTAAATATTAAAAGAATTATTAGATATCAATGGTCCATAGCGTAATACTTACTTTGCAATCGAAACCTGATTGTATCCAATGGATAAAAAACAGACATGGCAATAATGCTTCCCTGAAATAATGTTTATTAAGGCCTAGACTATGAGATATTAAATGGTGAACTCACTGAAGCCCCAGCTACAGACTTGACAAAAGTCTCATAACTTAGCAGTCCCTGTGCCATGGTAGCAAAGTTTGTGTTTAATCGTTCTCCTTGGAATCCTATTAATTCTAATTTGCTGGCATCCTCGATACCTACCAGCAAACGACTCGGCAGATAATGGCATGAGCCAATGAGCTTTTTTCAAATCATGTATATTTTGAAGTCATCCATCAAAAGTCACACCACCACTATTACCGAAAACATACGAGCGTACCAGTCTGAGGTGGCCGATTTGTCAAGCCTACTCTACTTGAAGTTAGCTGTAATTTAATTCGAATTTGAACAAAAATATTAACAAATTGCATTTTCGTACAGGATGTTATTTATACATCATTGGAAACTTTAATTATACATATCAAATCTGGAAGAATTTCTCCATTTAGCTTTTATGATTGGATACTTCAACTACATTAACATTCATTTCAAGTCACCTAGTATACTAATTAATTTTAAAATACCGTAGATTGAAAAAAGTGAGCATTATTGTGTTATTTTGCTTTATAAGTTAATATAGTTCGATAGTGTAATTACGATATATATATATATATGTAAATGCTTATTAATTATCTTGACTATTGATTATTACGAAAATATCGTTTATAAATGATTATATTCATTGAACTCCTTTCTAATGAGTTTTAAATGAACTCATATTTGATTGTTAGCTTATGGAAATTCCTATTTAATTTAAATAGTGATGAAGATTACTCATTATCACTTGAATAATACTATGGTTAAAATAAAAAACAAAAGAAAATTAAGTAATTACCATAAGTACCTTGGACACAGAAACATAAATGAATAATTCAATGCGTTCTACTTGTAAAAATGAAAGGTCAAATACCAAAATATAAGTATTTTTAATATTTTATGTGATATGGAAACGATAAAACGATGAATACGTTTTCTTAAAATAATAAGTTTTTATTACTTAACAAATTATACTACATCAAAACTTATAGTCTGTTGATACTGGACTCTTGACTGGTTGAATAGGTTCATTCTTCTTCAGCAATAACATTAGAAACTTTTGATGCAAAGTGTTTGGTAACTTTACATTATTGATCACAGCCCAATTAATAATCTCTGAGCAGCTTCGTAAATCCCGTTGTTGTACTGTAACAAACTATATAGTTCTTTTCTCTCTGTAACTATTTACTAGCAAAAAAATCTTACGTTTATAATTAAACAATGCCATAAGAACATAGCAATACTGACTCTCAATCTGAAACTGCATGAGTACCTCTAGCAATCTCTGCACAACATCTACCTGGTGATTTCTTAGGGATATTTGTACTATGGTAGGAATATGACTTATGATTGAATGGCTCAAATTTGCGTGTTTCTCAAGCAAATCCAAAGCCAATTTTTGATCTGTGTACCATTCACTAATGAAACAAACTTGCCATATGCAAGACATCATGTAATCATCTTTAAAATCTTCCATGATATGTTCACTAAATTTTATGATATTCACAAGGATAGCTTCACTCCTATTTGTAACATCAAATATTAAGTACTTGAATGTAAGACGAATTTTTCGCCTTAAATGATTGTGCTTCCTGTAGACTGTTTCAAAAATAGGTAAAGCTTTCAAGATCTCTTCATTCAACCAAAGAGACTCAGCCACATAATGATCAAAATTCCCATTGATTAAGGAAATATAATCATTATTCCTCTGGACTAATTTTTGTATTGCATACACCATAGTTATATCCTTTATGTAATACTCAAATAGTGAATTGACCAATTCTGGTCTTGGGCAAATATCTGCCTCCAGACATTTCTGAATCAAAAACTTGACATTTTCATTATGACCATTCTTTACAGCTTTCTGAATCAAGTCATTCAGTTGTGTCTCAGACAATGTTTTAATGTCTACATCGATAGAGCATTCTTGCTTCAATAATCTACATGACTTATTCTTTACATCTTTCAATTGTATATCCCATTTGCTTGATCTTTTCTGAATCAGTTCAGTAGTAAAATTATCCATCACATCATCACTTTCTAAAGCCAAAGTCACAACCTTATCACTTAACAGCCTGCTGACCACAAACAATGGACGTACTAACCTTAGGCTTTGATTAAAATTGTTAGATAACATATTCTAAAACAACAAAAATAATATTAATTAACAAAACCTGTATGCTTTAAATATCTTGACATTTTTGTTTGTTGTGACAGTTAACATAACCAAACTTTCTTTAAATATAGCTAAGCGTAAAAAATATCAATTGAACATATAAAACGTAAAATTGTTATGAAAATGTTTAATGCAAATATTGATTATATTATGAGCGATGAAAAAAAAATAATTAACTGTGTTTGAAGTTGTATATATTTACAATTTATTATAAAATCCAGAAAAAAGGACAATTTATTTATAACTAAAAAATTAAAAACAATTACATATATATGTCATAAATACAAGTTCTGAAATATTGTAAACAAATAAAGAAAATACATTTTCTATTCTAAACGAAATAAATAAGATTAAATATTCGGAATATTAATAGGCATCATTGTAAACCGAGGAGGTTTGCTCCAAATGGCGCTCGAGTTCCGTTTAAGTCTTACTGGGTTCACATTGTCGAAAATATCCAGCAAATTCGGCGTTTGTGGCATCGGACAAAACAATGTGTTCATCACCTTCGGTTTTATAAAGGATTCCATAATATTCAATGTAGTGGTTAGTTCTTCACCTAAAAGTGAAATTATTACTTTCAAAGTTCTGCATTAATAATTATATATATGAACTTACGATTAAGCCAATGTGGTACGACCTTTTTAGCTAAAACCGATTCCGCATCATCAGAATCGTAGCAATCGTATGTCGGTAAAAGAGGTGCTTCTTCGAGCATGTAAATATCATTCTTAGGTTGTTTCTTTGCTTTTTGTGCCTTAGCCCTCTTCCTTTCTTCCTCTTGCCTTCTGCGTTCCTCTTCCTTTATCCTTCGCTCTTCCTCCTTTCTTCGTCGCTCGTCTTCTTTCCTTCTGCATTCCTCCTCTGCTATTTTTCTTTTCATTTCCTGTTCGATTCTCTTCAATTCCTCTTCATGTTTCTTCTGCAATTTTCTTTCTTCTAACCGTTTCAATCGTCTTTTCTCTAGCTCATTCTTCCGCTGTTTTTCAAGAACCAGTTCTTCTTTCCTTTTGGCTAATTCAGCTTCTTTCTGAAGTCTCAATTTCTCACGCTCTTTGAACATCTTTTGCGATGATTTCAATGCTTTCAAGGTTCTAGTTTCTGAACCAGTGACTATCATGTTTTTCATTGTACTCATTTTTGAAGGAGTAATTAATCTATTGGAAACAGGTGTCACAACTTCTGCATTCACCGCTGCTAGCATCTTGGTTTTGGTTCTAGTAATGCGCATTTGAGGCGGAGGTGTTTCCGTCATTTTTTCATAAGCTTCCACCCGTTTCTTTACTGGGCTTTGATGATATGAAGCTTCCTCGACCATTTTCATATCCTCCACAGCGTCCTCGTATACGGATGTGTCATCGTGCTTACTCGTTTTTAACTTTTTCAAATGCCTCTCAGGTTCACTTGGTGATTGTGATCTACTTCTTTTGGTGTCTTTAATCCCAGTTTTAGTTTGAACATTCTCACTTGAGATCTTTTCCTTAATTTGCTTCACACGACTCGATTTAGCGCTTCCGGAATCTGACGATATCTCTGCATTCGTATTTTTATTCCTTGTTTTAGATCTTGTAGATCGTATATTAACTTCCTCTGTATCTGCTTTAGTTTTAGTCCTTGTTGTCCTGCTCTGTGCCTTTGGCGGCAACATTTTGGTTAGCGTTCTTGAAGACCTTAGATTTTCTTTTTTAATTTCTAATAAGGTATTTTTTGGCTTCTTAATAATCTCATCTGCATCATCATCTGATATAGCATGGATTTCCACACTGTTTATAATTTCAACATCACTATCTGCAGATGGTGATTTTGGTTCCATTTTAACAACCCTCTTTTTGTTTTTTTTCATAGATTCTTTTATATTAATCATAGCTTCCTCAGAAATCCTTTCCATCTTTACATAAGGAACTCTATTCATATCTGAATTATTAACAGCTGCTTTTGGATTTACATTCTCTTTAGATTGTTTACCTGAATAATAAATATTTTATTAATTATTAGCCAATTGACCAAGTTACACCACTCACGATTGCTAGTTTTTTGTCTGCGATTCACATTGTTTACATGAGCAGATATTAAAGTAAAGTCTCTGGTTTTCTTAAAAGCTTCTAATGTAGCTAATGTTGATTCTATAGTAGGCTCTGGGCTCACCTAAAACGATAATAATATATAAAGACAATTTTTGCTATAGCTAGTTTAAAAATCTAACCTCTTTCTGAAAGAGACCCGTCGTTACTTTCTTGAGAAAAAGCTCGTCGAACTCCTGGACGGCCTTCAATATGCTCGAGTAGTTATCCATGGTGCAAGTAACAATAAAACGTCTGTAATCACTTTCAATTCATTAAACTGCTCCAATATTAACTACCAAACCACTGTAAAACCGTTGCATTCAAATTTGACAATCAACAACCGCCATATTGACTGATCGACTCCAACTAATGAATGAGTGTGCTTGATATCCAAGTAACAACTACCTTTATTACATAACCAATGTAAATTATTGCTATTATATAAATATTAGTTTAAAATAAATGAACTGCACACTTTTTAAAATGTGTTGCCCGCTGAGTGTGTTGCCTAAATTAACATGTCAATACATAAATAATCGCATGAAATAAATTTAAATATTTAGGTTATGTTTTGGTATATTGCTTTGGTTTGAATTAAGGTTCCATATAGACCACTGAAGATGGCGCCACTTGATTTTCAAATTTGCGAGGGCACGCCACCATACAGTGTCTTTGGCTGGGGACCAAAGACGCTGTGTAGTGGTTCTTTGGTTCCCTGCACCAGACGCAATTTAATTGTGAGGCCATCTTCTAAATATTTCCAATTCAAATATTTTTTAGTTAAAAAAATGATGACGGAAGTATCGTTTTATGAAGGGCTGATTAAGGTTGTTGTCGGACCATTTTAAGATTTGCGCCTCCCGCAGCTGTACACAAATCCATCACTGATTCTGTATCATTATTTATATAATAACGTTCATCATTTAAGATATTAATTATTGTTGTAATGTATCTATAATTGTAAGTAATTATTAGACATAAAAAATTGTCTCCAATAAGCTCTGAATTAAATATAAGGTATTGAAACAGTAGTCATATATTAAATATTAAAGCTTTGTAATGATTATATTCTTGTTTCTTTCAAGTAGTGTTAAGTACTCTTCTTCTTTGATAATTTCTAGTCTCGAGCAGTCTCGAGTGATTAAGTATTCATCACATTTTTAGGGCAGAAAGTTTTATGGTCAATAGTTCTTTGCAGCAGTTTCAATTTAAGTTCTTATATTATTGTATTTGGTTTATATTTTGGTTATTTATTGTTGCAATAAAAAATATTATTACTTTTTTTCGCCGTGAGATGTCGATGTCATCACTTCCGGATGGGCGGTGGGCGGGTGGTTTAATCAATCTGGCAAGCTCTGCCCTAGGAGGGTTGTTCTCGTTATTAATATCATAAGGGAATAAGCTGCTCTTATTGCGGAGCCCAGAGCAATTTTCCAGATCCAGTGTCGGCGGGGGCAGCGTAAACGCTGCATAATTGTTTAATTATTGAAAATAATCTGACGGAGAAGGAAAATCGATGTACCCACGTGTTTCCACCCGATATCCAGGCGCTCCTTCTTATCTGGACGAGTCTTTCTGTTTGATTATTATATAAAAAATGCATTCCGGTCGCGGCCCACTTTTCACACTTGCTGCAGGGTGTATTCCTTTCCATTGTAGTATTTTTCGTCATTTATTCATTCTCTTTTTGTTTTTTTGTCTTTTTCGTACACGAAAGTCTCTCACGTTCGACTGCGACACGACAGTCTCAATACCTTTTTAAATCGAAGTTTATTCCACCTTTGGGAAATCAGGGCTCGGGGACCCACCGCCCGATTGCCGAGCGACCCTTTCAGAGGTTTTAAAGAATAATCACGGTATCGAATGCCATGAATAATACAATTGTTCAGTATTTATTTATATATTTTTTTAAATAAGTATTTGTTACTGTTGTATTTACTTTTAATTTGATATAAGCTATCCAGAGTTACAGCAAACTGAAGTATACGTACATTTTATATTCAATATTATAATGATCGATCTGGATTTTTAACAAATACAAATAGTATTGTTTTTCGTTATCTTAATAATTGGTTTTAGAGTATAATAATAAATAGGCCAAACTGCAAGCAGATTGATCGAGCGTCGTAAAAGTCCAACATTCCTCGGATCCATCTTAATATCTGTAGCTTGTATCGAAACGGGAATTTATTGCTAGTGATTTAGTGCAGATAAATTTGCTATAAATGAGGGAAGTTAATTGTGCGAACTGGGTGGATGTTGGTCGGACGAGTGCTGGGGGTGTGCAATTTGGGGGAGTGCGTGTGCTACACGGAACTGTGTATTTGTGAATGGAAACGCCGTTTAATTTATGATTCCGACCGCATCTGTTATCGCCGATTAATTGCCATTCAATTGCCGTTTCCACAATTGATCCTTTGTTACAAAATCGATACAATACTCGATACGAAACTATAGCTATTGGATCATTATTCAAAATAATTTCTTCTTCATTATTCGTCTCTGAAGACTCATTTGTAGGTTTTATTAAAAAAAAATCTGTTTTTGTTTATTTAGTTTATTTTTATAATTACTTTGATTTTGATCATCAAATGCAAAAATATTATATTTTTTGCTCACATCTGGAGTTATAAGACTGTTCTGTATCACCTAACTAAAAATTGTAATAAACACTTTTCACATCCTTGTTTTCAATTAATTGGACAAGTAAACTATGAACAACAAGGGGTGATGTATCAACATGTATATTTGCACCATAGATCATGAATGCGGATAAAAAATATAAAACAGCTCAATCTGCTTCTTTTCTTAAATATTAACAAATTTTCAAATAATCAAATTAACTAGTATCGGTAACTAAGCCCGGATACATATTTTTTTCTGGGAAACTACAAAATATTTGTAGAAGCAAATACTGAAAATATAATTGTATCCATATTTTAGGAAAAGTAATAAAAGATAATTTTGCACAAATATATAACGATTCTTAAGAATTTTAACATAACTAATGCTTTAAGCTGCTATTTTCATTTGTGCGATTCTAGATGAAAGTAAATAAATTGCGTCTCCTCATTCACTTTGTATATTGTGTGCCTCTGTCTTTTTGTTTTTAGAACATATTCTACTTCTGTCTCATCTATACATCCACCCTATTGCCTCCAGACAATTTTTTTATTATATACTCCTACCCCTGTAATCTATTTTTATTTTATTTTATGTCCGGAGCTATTAGAGTGCAATAAAAATCCAATTGGAACAGATGTGTTTTGTTGTGCGCGCGTATGGGATGAGATAGAAGAGGATGGGTTAGAATGGGGGTGAAATTGCTGATAAATGCATGTTATCATATCTCGGGGGAGGCGAGCGAGCGGAGGAAAGGAGCAGAAACAATAAGGGGGGTGGGACTTCAAGTTGACAAATTGTCCTTCGCCTCTCGAATCCCCGATTAATCCTCCGTCGGAAATATATATATATATACACACATACACAAACAGTACACAATATATACCAAAACATTGCGTACAGATTTACATGGTGGATAATGGTTGAGATAGTCCTGGGTTAGCTTCACGGAAGGGGGACGAGTAAACTATTAACCGAGTATTCAATGCATGAGAAGCAAAGTTAATAGTATTATAGAGCGAAATCGATCTAATTGTCTTTTGCCACCCCAACTGCCCGGATTTATTGCTTATTTATTAATGACATCTAGCAGCTTCATCCGATGCAATATGTCAAAGTCAGATAACTGAATCCTTATCCTTCCAGAATACACTTGAAAATTGATCCATAAAATAAAAAAGTATAGATACTTGTCAATTGTAACATTGAGCAGTTTATTATTTTTATAACGACACAAAAAGCGTTTCAATTGGGTTTAGGTAAAGATAAAACACATATTGATCTTATAATAAGAATTTTTTATAAATTAAAAATAATTGTGATTAATAATTTTATAGTAGAAATTAATAATTTACTTATACAGGTATAACCAGACTTACGAACTAGGTCCGTTCCAAAGGGTTGTTCGGAAGTCGAATTTGTTCGTAAGTCGAGGAAATTTTAAAAATTTCAAAATATTCCTATCTTACCACACTTTATCATGATTATTACTTTTGTATATGTTAAATTCTGTATTACTTACTTACATAAATTTGAAAAAAAAAGATTACTAACTTACAAATACTTTTCAATGTAGACATCACAATTATTTAAGAACAAACGACAAAAGAAATGCATTTGATATATAATTGAAATAGAAGATGTTCTATTTCCAAAAATATTATATTTTATTAAAGAAATTATCAATTTTTGTTTGGACAGTTAATTTTTATCACTATATATCTCCTTGTACAAAGTTAGAGCTTTTAGAACATTGTTCGTATGTCCGGGAGTTCGTAAGTTGCATAAAAGGTATTATATTTAGTAAAACACCGGTAAATTTCCAGTATTTTTTTAATTGAAAACTTTCTGTGCAAAAGAGGAATTAACAATAATCTATTAAGATTATTAAAAAAGCAAAATTAATTTAAAGAAATCATTAATAACAACAAACCGGCAAAACACGTTTTTAAATATTGATTCCGTTTTTACTGAGAAATTCAAATGTGCATGTACTACTCAAATCGCATTTAATTCACTTAGACTTGTTTGAATGTTCCTTATTTCAACCACAACTACAGACAATAGTTCCAATAATGTTAGAAATAAATTAGAATTATCTTGTCGATGTATATTTCCAAATCCTAGAGTAGTGTCTACCAAACTGTGTTTGAGAGATTTCAAATGAAATGCGAAATATTTTAAAGTTTAGGTAAAATATTTGTTCATATGATTTTTATATTGGGATTTTTATTTGTTGTGCCGCAAAATTAATTAGGCGAGTAGTAGAGAATTGTGCAAAAATTGAACAACATCAGAGAAGTTTGTGCGTCGATTTAGATGCAATTCCCGACCTGATGTACGTAGAAAAAAGTTAGTTATGATGTGCAAAAATCTATTATATATTTAACATCACAGTTAATTACTAAATTTATTAAATGAGGTGTACAATCTAGGGAAATGTCATGTCAAGTAGTACGTTAATGACAAAAGTGCGTCGACAGAAAGGGTCACTCAGTCAAAGTTTGTTCTTCAATGCGTCGGCGTGCTCTCTGGTTTTATACGTTCAAAATTGTTGTGTAACTAGTTTAAATCTGATGAACTGTGTTGTGTTTTGAGAAAACTATAAGCAGAAAACACTAACCTTTAATTGCCACTAAATCTAATAAGGTCTTATTTTAAAATTAAAAAAAAAACGTATTGTTTTCTTCGAAATTACTTTCGTTTCGTCTCTAT